GGTTTTATATGTTGATGGAGCAGCTAACATAGAGGGATCAGGTGCTAGAGCTGTGTTAGTGGGCCCAGATGGCTTTAAGTCTGAGCACGCACTAAGGTTTAAGTTTCAGACGACTAATAACGCTGCAGAATATGAAACCCTCATTTACGGACTAAAGGTGGCATCCGAGCTGAAGGTACAAAGCATTCAGGTCTTTAGTGACTCTCAGCTCGTAGTAGGCCAGGTCAATGGCAGCTGTGAGATCAGGGACCCCCAACTCGGCCGTTATGCCTCTGTGGTCAACAGACTGAAGTCGATGTTTGTTCTTTTCCAAATTGATAAAATACCCAGAGCAGATAACCACCGAGCCGACGAGCTGTCCAAGTTGGCCTCCTCGCAGGACATTAACCCTCAGAGGTCAACAATTGTCGAGATACTTGACGCCCCAAGCTACACCGATCTCGCAGCCGAATGTCAACTATTGAGTACAAACCCCTCTACACCGAGCTGGACCACCCCGCTAATAAGTTATTTACAAAGTGGCGAGCTACCTGAAGACAAGTCCGATGCAAAGCTGGTTAGACGCAGGGCGGCACATTTCACTTTGATAGACAACCGGCTCTACAAACGAGCAGCCTCAATGCCCCTATTACGCTGCCTTACTCCTTATGAAGCTGAATACGCTGTGAGAGAAGTCCACGAAGGAGTATGTGGCACGCACATCGGTGGTAAGACTTTAGCTCGGAAACTCCTAAGACATGGGTATTACTGGCCCACTATGGTCGAGGACGCGCAGAGCTATGTCAAAAAGTGCCCGACCTGCCAGTTCAGTGCTGATGATATTCACATGCCAGGTATCTGAACTCATTCTAGAGTTTATACAAACTTAGTAACTGCCTATGAACTGAGCATAAGTCCCTTCCTTGAAATAGGGGAAATGCTATCATCTCTCACGTCTCCCTGGCCCTTTGCTCAATGGGGTGTCGACCTGCTCGGCCCTTTCGTCAAAGGTAAAGGAGGCTGCACTTTCCTGGTCGTTGCGGTAAATTACTTCACTAAATGGATAGAAGCTAAACCATTGTCCACGACAACAGAAAAGAAGATAGAAGAATTCTTATTCAATTCAATATTGTGCAGGTATTCTTTAGTGACTTAAGTCATAAATAAAAAATACATGCAAAAGTAGTTCCTAGCTCAGCTCGGTCATCTGGTGCAGGTTTGGCATACCTCAGCGGATTATTGCTGATAATGGGCCCCAATTCCGAGCAGCAGCACTGAGATCGTTCTGCAAGGACTATGGCATTGAGCTCTCCTTAACATCTGTGTACACTCCGCAGTCAAACGGACAGGCCGAGTCTGCCAATAAAATTGTTTTGCGAGGCCTCAAGACGCGCGTTATAACCGCGCGTTCTAATTGGGTCGACGAGCTCAATAAAGTACTTTGGTCATGTCGCACGACACCCAGCTCGGCCACGGGCGAAACTCCGTTCAGCCTGGCATATGGAGCCGAGGCCGTCATCCCTGTCGAAGTTGGTCTACCATCTGTTAAATCAGATCGTCAGGATGATCAGAATAACGGGCAACTCCTAAAAGAAAACCTAGACCTAGTGGAGGAAGTCAGGGAAAAGGCTCGAATTAGGAACATGGCACACCAAAGCCGTGTGGCAAAGTTTTATAACAAGAGAGTTCGAGCTCGACAGTTTCAGGTCGGCGATCTGGTTCTCCGCAAAGCTGGATTAACCAATGCCTATTCGCATATGGGCAAGCTCGCCCCTAATTGGGAAGGCCCTTATATGGTTATTAATATTAAACGACCTGGGTGTTATCAATTAGCAGATTTACAAGGTCGTCCGTTGTCGTTCATATGGAACATACACAATCTTAGAAAGTTTTATAGTTAGCGTGTATATTATTAGTGCTCAGGTCGTTACTGATCATTTGTAAACAGTGACTTATTGAACATTCAACACAGAAATTTCAGAACAAAAGACTTGAATTTGTATTTCATCAATGAAATTTTACAAGTGTAGTACATTGAGTAAATAAATTCATTGATTAACACAAACATACAAAAACAGAACAAAAAATCCTAAGCTAGTCATCCGTCAAGTCGACGGGAATAGATGCGTCATTTGGGGCAGTAACAGACCGGGCTGGTGAGGAACGATCTGGAGGAGGAAGGGTAGGAGAATGAACAGGAGTCGCGGTTGGCGCAAGCTGAGGCGGAGCAGAGGGGGGCGTGCTAGAAGGCTCAGCGGGCACATCATGGGGGTTCGCCACCCAAGCGTCAAAACTTGGCAACCCCTCTGTGTCCTCCCCCTCTTCGATCACAGAGGGGGGCCACACGGGCAGCCCCTCCTCGTTTAGCTCCCATCTTAGCCTCACCCGGGTGTCCGCTGGCTGGGCTAGGCTCTTTCCTTCTTCGTTACTCTCCTTGCCCTCAAAGAAAGCCAGCTCGCCGATGGGGAAATCTGCCCGCACTTGCAACACCTTCCCATGAACCTCGTTGAAAATGTCCGTGGTGGTGTTAGCAGAGGCAACTGCCACGGCGTCCTGGAACATCTCTGCTCCAAGCAGCCATTCAGCGCCTTGCGCACGGGCGAAGCAGAGATCCCGCTGATGGAGCCTCTTGCACTCTTCCAAGGACGCCTCAGCTTGGGCGACGTGCAGGTCAGCTCGGGAGACCCTATCTGCCATGGCATTCAGGTCGTGCAGAGTCTTTTCCCTCTCAGCTTCGGCCCTTTTGGCACGATCCTCTGCACGACCGGCCTCTTCATTCGCAGCCTGGATGCCGCTCTCCCTCTCCACTCGGGCCCTCACGAGCTCCTCCTTCAGCTCATCTACCTTACGGGCCAGCTCGTCAGCTCGGCTTTCAGCTGACGCTGCTCGGTCTGCCATTTCCGAGCTCTGCAAACGGCTGACCTCGTCAGTCAAGCTGGCTTTTTCAGCAGCCAGTTGCTTGCAGCTTTTCTGAAGCTCGTTGTTCTGCGCTCGGGCTCCCTGTTCGCACTCAAACAGCGCGACAGTGTAACTGAACACCTACAATACATATTCATTCGTCAGGTTACAACAAAAGCGTGATAAAATGCAAGTAAGGAGCTTGGCAAAGGTACTTACATCCATTAGCTTAATCAGCGCAGCATGCCCCCCATGCTGTTGAATGTGCCCCTTCGCACGCAGCCGGTCTGCAGGGGGCACAAAGTTCTGCATACCCTACAGCATAGCAGCATGGCATTCAGTTCGCACGTAACTGAAGCCGTTCGGGTATGCAATCCTGGGGCCCCCCCACAGACGTTGAGATTGGTGCGGCCTCAGCAACCTCCCGAGCTGGCGCTTGAGGCACGTTGGGGGCTATTGCAGCAGCGGCCGGGGCGGGCTGCGAGCCGGTGCCCGTCCTACGCCGTATGAGAGGCACGTCATCCTCTGCATCAGCCTCCGCGTCTTCCCTCGAACGCCTTCTGGAGCTGGAAGGCGCAGACTCGACTCTTTGCTCGGCACGCGGCCTCTGTGCCGAGCTGGAACTTCTGTGTTGCGAGCTGCGCCCTGGTGCAGCAGGTGGCCACTCGTCAAAACGAGACTGGCGTTGGGAACTTGACCCGGCTCCCCGATTCCTGGAGCCTTGCGCTCTCTGTCGTTGACGCTCAAGGATGCTGCTCATGACTCCTGCACAAACAAAAGCATAAGACTCAGATCGGCTAGAAGCTATACCAGTATATAAAGATATACCTTGAGAGTGTAGATTTGCCACATCGACAAATCCGAGAACTGCGATCTGCTCCGGGGTAACCAAGGTTTCCAAATCCACTAGCCCCCTCGCCTTCACATAGTCGAGCAGCCGATTCTTCAGGTCGACGTCGCCACTGGTCAGCTGAGGATAGTTCATATATGCGTTCGGCGTGCGCCACTCTGACAGACGGGCGGCGAGCTCGTTGTTCATCCTGTCAGTTCGCGTATCCCGCACGAACACGAACTGTCTTTTCCACCTCGCTACCTTATTTCTGATGTTGGTGAAGATCAACATCTTCTCCCTGCCCGAGACGTAGTACCATCTCGTCCCGCTGGTGGACGGACACAAACGGCATAGGAAGAGCGACCTGAAGACCACCGCCTTTGCAGGCACCCCTAGCCTTTC